AACGCCAAGGAGGCGTTCTGGAGAGAATTTTGCGAATTCATGGAGGATACCAAGGAATCTGCGAGATTATGCAAAATCCTTGCCAAAGGGCACTCACAGCCAACATATATAAAAAGGTCAGATGGTTCATGGACCGAGTCGGCTGGGGAGTCGCTGGATATCCTTATGAATACACATTTTACAGGGTGCAAAATCGATTTAGTGGAAACCGATGCCCCAGACCATATACCAACCCTCTCCGAGGACCTCTTAGGGGAGCTACTAGAGAGGGAAAAGATAAAATTTGCTATCTTCAGCTTCTCACCCAATAAATCACCGGGCATGAACGGAATACTACCAGTCATGCTTCAGAAAGCTTCTGAGATGGTCATTCCAGTCCTAGAAACCATTTTTAGAGGGTGCCTAATACTGAACCACGTTCCGTTAAGTTGGAGGAAGATTAAGGTAATTTTAATTCCTAAAGCGGGCAAACGGGGCCATGAGAATGCTAAAGATTTCCAACCAATAAGCCTAATGTCCTTAGTGCTCAAGACGTTTGAGAGGCTGTTGGATCTGTATGTTAGGGACAAGACGTCTAATTTATCATGCTCTCAACATGCGTACTTGAAAGGGAAGTCAACGGAGACTGCCCTACATGAATTGGTACGTACAATTGAGAGTTCGCTCTACTATAAACAATTTACAATGGCGTCCTTTATAGATATCGAGGGGCCTTTAAGAATGTCAGTGTAGATTCCATCCATGGGTCACTTATAGAAACGGGGATTGATCACTGTGTCCGGGCTTGGATAGTGTCTCTGCTAAGGAGCAGAGTAATACATGCCGAATTGGGGTACCAAAGCAGGGCCGTATATGCAGTGAGAGGCACCCCACAGGGAGGAGTGCTATCACCGTTACTATGGCTCATGGTCTTAAACAAAGTACTGATAAAGCTGTACTCTCAGAGAATAAAAGCGGTGGCTTACGCCGATGATGTAGCGATACTGGTATCGGGTCAGTTTCCTTCGGTCATAAGTGAAATTATGGAAAGGACTTTAAAGATAGTAGATTCCTGGGCCATAAGCTGTTCTCTTAGCGTAAACCCGAAGAAAACTGACCTTATGCTTTTCACAAATAAAACAAAATTACCAAATTTTAATAAACCAAGGTTCCGAGGAACGGAAATCGATCTGTCAAAGAAGGTGAAATACCTTGGAGTCATTTTGGATCCCAAACTTAACTGGAAACCAAACATTGAGGAGCGTGCTAGGAAGGCCACGGTGGCTCTCTATGCAGCCAAGAGAATGTTGGGCAACATATGGGGTTTGAAACCAAGAATTGTGCACTGGACAAAGCTATAGTCCGACCCATAATCTCTTATGGGGCGCTAGTATGGTGGCCAGCCCTTACTAAGGATTACGTAGTTAAAAAGCTAGGCGGAATTGAAAGGTCAGCAGCCGCTAGCGTAACAGGCACAATGATCCTGTCCGAAGGACGTTGTGAACGTCCTTTTTGACTTATTACCTATAGATATCTTCATCGAGAATTCAGCTGCTAACATCGCCATCAGGCTGCGAGCCCTGGGGCTCTGGAAGGAAAGACCGTTCGGGCACGGTTCCATCCTAGACGCAATACTGTCTGAAATTAAAGCGCTGCCCACTAACTATATCCTGTCGAAGACCGGCGTTCACCATAAGCCCCGCACGAAATTCCCAAGCCGCAGTGACTGGAATCAGGAAGATTTCGGGTACTTGCAGGGCTTAACTGTCTTTACGGATGGGTCAAGGATGGAATGCGGGGTTGGTGCTGGGGTCTTCATTGAGCAATAAAACCTAAAATTATCCTTCCGCCTACCAGACTATGCAAGCGTTTTCCATGCCGAAACGTTTGCTATTAAGGAGGCAGTAAGGTACATCAAAGACAATATACCCGCGAGAACGCAAGTGAACATCCTCTCGGATAGCCAAGCGGCTATTCAGGCACTTTTTTCTCACTCTGTTAGATCTCAGCTAGTGGATGAATGTAGGAGAGAGCTGGCCTATATTTCTGATCAATACGAAATTACCCTATTATGGGTCCCGGCACATAAGGGGCATCTACGGAAACGAGGCAGCGGACGAACTAGCAAGGAGCGGCTCCGCACTAGATGTGTTCCACGCGGGGGACATGGGCGCCTCGCTCAGGGAGATTAATACAAAAATTACCGAAATTTATCATTCGAAGGCCAGGCAGAGGTGGAAATGCACAGGATCCTACAGAATAGCCCGGCAGTTCTGGGTGTCCTACGACCTACTCAAAACCAAAGCTCTCTTAGGAATGAGCAAAACAAATGCATACAAACTTACTGCAGTGTGAATAGGGCACTGGCCCGTTGGGGTACATGCCGAAAGGATAGTACTGCCCTTCAATAGGTTCTGTCGCAGCCGCGATGACCCGGGATCAAAAGAGACAGTCGAACACTTGCTGTGCGAGTGTCCAGCCCTCGCAAGGATGAGGCTAAAGTGACTCGGCAAACCATTCCTGCAGAATATTTAAGAGTGCAGCTGCATGCGTTTATCGAAGAATTTTCTCCAAAATTTGTTTATCAGTCAGTCAGCTGACGCACTACCACGCCTTGAATTGAAAAATTTTATAGACCATACAGGAGATTCACCAGATTATGAATCGCACAAAGTAGAGAAAGCATTCATTTACAAGAAACTAAAAATCCCTTAAACCAGTTTAAGCAGCAAATTATATTATGTAAAAATAGGTTCACTATCCATGAACTAATCGAAACTTTTGGAAACAAAAGACACTTGATCGAATACGACACAGTTGAGAATCTACTCACAATTCTAAAAGAATATATCAGACCTAACTTGGTAACAGCATTACACTGCACGAAATACAGCGACCGCTGAAAGAAACATTTCAAAACAAATTTGTGTACACCGAACTTTTTCCAATGGACATCATCAAAACAGAAGATCAATCGGGCCCAATTCAACAGACACACACCAGAGCTCATCGCAGCTATAAAGAAAATATAAAACAAATAGAAAAGCTATACTATTGGTCAGAAATAAGAAAGAAAATGAATGAGTTAGTGCGAAAGTGCATAATATGCAATAAAAATAAATACGGTAGGCATCCTAAAAAATTTCAATATGTAAAGCTCCAATTCCGAAAGAAGAAGGAGAACCACTTCACACAGACATTTGTTATGCCCAAAAGTTGAAACGCTTATTCTAAATTTCTAATATTAAAAAACATTGAGGGTAAATCTTACATTGAGGAAAACATGTTGGAACTGCTCCAAACTTTCCTAGATGTAAAACGAATTACATTAGATAACGAACGAAGCTTCACAACACCACAATTTAAATCATTAATGCAGAGATTAAATGTTGAAGTTTATTTTTGCGATTCAAGGCACAGTACTACTAATGGACAAATAAAGCGAGTGCATTCCACAATAATCGAAATAGCTAGGTGAATAAAAGAGGATTACAACATAGTGCCCGACTTAGAAATAATTCTAAGAGCTTATCAACAATATAATATGACTGCATTCGGTAACAAATTTTAAACCAACAGATGTTTTCCACAACAAAGTAAAAAATTAAAATTTACCCAACACCCTCAAGCCAGCGCAGGAGAAAATGCTCGCGACTCATAATAAAAATAGAACGGATAAACAGTTTAACCAGACTAAATAATTTACGAAAAGGTTATAGGAGAAAGAAATAAACTAAAAACTTGGTATATAAAGCAACAAGTAAAGGAAAAGCTAGGGAATAAGATAATAATTAATAATAGGAATATAATTATTCATAAAGATAACATAAAATCCTAATATTTTAGATTGCCATCATACTACTTTTACTTCTTGGATTACTACTAATTTTAACAAAAGCTGATGTGCGGTTCGCAATGTTAAGAGGGGTTCCCTTTTATTTTAAACTCAATAATTCCAGATTAATTACTTTAATCTGTACGGTATTTTTATTAGAGGAAATGTCTTAAATTAGCGATACAGGATTTGCATTAGATCGCAGCACACTTAATACTAACTTCTAGCGACACGGTCATCTATTTATTTATTGCCTCAACGGTTCTCACATTGCGGGTGGGTACATACATATGTACCTATATACCTTCATGCTGTTGTATATATGTATACATCTGGGTGTGTGCATGAAGTCACTGGAAATTCAATGCTCGCTGTGGATTTCATCGTGGAGAAAACTTGCTCTCCCGTACTTCTCTTGGCTAGGGTGTTTCGAAACCGTACATGCCGCCCCCATGCTGGGATCAGCATAATCACCAAACCGTCCTGGGGTGGTGTTTTCGGTTTCATTGAGCAACGAAAACACCAAAGGAAACTTCTGGGATTCAACTCCAATACGCATTGAGGAGGGCTGAAGAAAGCGTGCTAGGTGCTATTTGGTGCATGAGTATGAACAAATTATTACTTGTCTTGAGTGCATGAGGATATTGGTAAGAGGCAAAGCTTTGAGACAGACCGTTTGTAGATGCCGTTTTGGGTACGAATAGTTACTACTCTGACTAAGTTATCTGGACCTGGATGAAGCTCTATGACGCGTCCCATTACCCACACGTTGGGTGGTAGCCTTTCATCCTTAACGATGACGAGGTCATTTATTTGAAGATTTCGTCTTTGGTGACACCATTTTGGTCGTGTTTGGAGGTGTGATAGCCAATCTGATGTCCACTGCTTCCAAAATTGTTGAAACATTCGTTGCGTTTGAGCAAATTGTTGGCTGAGTGATACATTAGCCGCTGGAGAGGCGTTTGGTGGTGAAAGCAGAGAGTCTCCTATTAGGAAATGCCCCGGTGTCAGCACTTGTAATTCGTTGGGATCTGATGTTAAAGAGCACAGCGGTCTGGAGTTTAAACAGGCTTCGATACGCGCCAAAAGGGTTGCAAGGGCTTCGTAGGTAAGCCGAGCACCGCTCACTGTTCGCTTTAAATGATACTTAACCGATTTTACATTCGCCTCCCAAAGTCCTCCGAAATTAGGTGAATGGGGAGGATTGAAGTGCCACTTGGCTTGCTAATTTCGGCACGACTTCTTGCTCTATGTCCTCCGCAAATTTACGTTCATTTGGTTGAAGTACCTTGTCAGCGCCTATAAAATTTGTTCCGCAATCGCTGTAGATGTCTTTGCACAGACCTCGACGTCCAATGAATCGTTGCAGGGCCATCAAGAAGTTTTCCGTTGACATGCCTGTGACTGCTTCCAGATGAATGCACTTTGTAGCTAAACAAATGAAAATAGCGATGTACCCTTTATATGTCGTATTTCCACGAAATCTAGACGATTTTAGCTCGATTGCGCCGGTGTAATCGACGCCTGTTGCGAGGAACGGGCGTTGTGGTGGATTGACTCGATGGAATGGAAGTTCGCCCATCAGTTGACTACCAACTTCCGGCTTATTTCTAACACATTTAATGCATTTTCGAAGTTGTTCTTGCACAGTGCGTCTGGCATTTATTATCCAAAACCGCTGTCGTAAATATGTTAAGGTAAGCTGCGCACCACCATGTAATGTCGTTAAGTGCGCGTGAGTGATAACCAAACTAGTGAAATGATACTTACTTGGTAAAATGATGGGGTGCTTCTGATCAAATGGAAGATTAGAGCGCTGAATTCGCCCACGCACACGAAGAAGTTGCTGCTCATCAAGAAACGGAGTTAAGCTAGTAAGCTTGCTTCTATGTGGAACAGGTTTTTTATTGCGAACGTTGTGTACTTCGGTGTTGAATGTTTCTTGTTGTACGAGCCTGACAACCTTTGCTAGACTTTGGTTTAGCTCGGTGACCGACAAAGGTCCACTTATGCGGGCACAGCTCTGAACTTGGCTATTCTGCACGAAACGGAGAATGTACGCACAAACGGGTACGGTTTTCGTCAGCGACGAGTACCGAAGAATAACGGAGTCTTGACAAATCGTGAAATTTGCTTGAAGCGGCTTCCTTTTAACTTCAGCTATTTCTTCGGTGATGTGCAATTCAGTCGTGCTAAATTTCGGCCAGGAATCTTCATCTGACAGCAACCACTCTGGGCCGGACCACCATAGCCTGAAAGTTGATAAACTGACTGGTGTTAGGCCTCGGGTTGCGCAATCAGCTGGATTTTGCATAGTATCGACGTGACTCCATTGTGACGGTGAAGAGGTTTGTAGTATCTTGCCAACTCGGTTTGAAACCCATGTTTGCCATCGATTCGGATCGCCATTTATCCAGTAAAGCACAATCGTAGCATCGGTCCAATAAAATGTTTTTAGATTTGTATACGGTAATGACAATGATTTTTTGGTCCATTCCATTAATTCAGTCGCCAGCACTGCTCCGCACAACTCGACGCGTGGTATAGTCAACGGTTTTGTCGGGGTGACTCTGCTTTTTGCGATGAGAAGCGTTGTAAAAATTTTACCATCACTGCATTCTACCCGTAGATAAACACATGCTGCATATGCAGCTGTCGAGCCATCGCAAAATACATGGAGTTGTAATGATTTAACATGATTTGGTTCATAGTTCAACCATCTCGGCACCGTGATGCAGGGCAGCTCCGATACAGTATTTAGAAAACGTTGCCATTGGTGATTTAGGTTTGTTGGTAGCGTTTCATCCCATGCCAATGGTGTGAACGTGTGCTCATCGCGTTGTACCTTAAAGGACCATACCGATTTCAGGATGATTTTGGCTGCTACAATAACCGGTGCAATTAATCCCAGTGGGTCGTACAGACGAGCTATAGTTGAGAGCACTGACCGTTTGGTGGCAGTAAAATCAATTTCGAAGTTGAGCCGGAATTTAAAAACGTCCTTGTTCGGTTGCCACAGAATGCCAAGGGTTTTAACGGTATCGCTGCTATTTAACTGTAAGGCATTACTGTCTGACCTGTTTTCGGTGGGAATACCGTCCAGCACCGCCGATGAGTTGCTGCTCCATTTTCGAAGTTCCATGCCAGCGGAGCGCAATGCTAAGGTTACTTGTTTGCGAATTTCGGTGGCGATCTCAACGGAGTGACCGCCAGATAGTACGTCGTCAACATACATTTCATTCCGAAGGACAGGTGCTGCTAACGGATACGATGTACTTTCGTCTTCAGCCAGTTGGTGGAGGATTCGTATCGCGGTATATGGAGCGGAAGCAGTCCCAAATGTGACTGTCGTGAGACAATACTCCTGAATTTCATTTGCTTCGTTTCGCCACAAAATGCGTTGATATTGCGAGTCATCTGTGTGCATGTCTATGCACCGATACATTTTTTGGATATCAGATGTAAACGCAAATTTGTGTTTTCTCCAATTTAAAACTACTGCTGGCAGATCATTTTGAAGTGCGGGTCCCACACACAGTACGTCAAACACGATTCTTAGCTTTGTGGTTAGACTTTCCTCTTTGATCACAGCGTGGTGAGGTAATACACATGATGCGACTGTTGGAGCACTTGAGGCAAGTTTGACGGAATGCTGCTCCTCAGTTGTCGTAGCAGGAGTTATTTGATTCAGGGTGAAATATTCCCGAATACACCCTTCATACCGGGCTCGCAATTCATCGTTGCGTTGTAGTTTTCGCTCCAGTGAATGAAAGCGGTTGAGTGCAATTTTTTTGGATTTACCGAGGGTTTGAGATTCATCAAACAAATTTTTCAATGGAAGTCTCACTAAATATTTCCCATTTGGTTGGCGCATATGCGTTTGTTGAAAATGTGTTTCACACCAGTTTTCTTCTTGCGAGAGAGATCTCTCGGTCGGTACTTGATCGATTTCGAAAAAAACGTTGTACAAGTGATTCCAGCTCGAGAGACACATGGTTGCAATGAAGACTAGCAGCATCAACTTTGGGGGTGGAAGTAGTATTGCCAGACAATATCCATCCCAGATGGGTGCGCTGGGCTATTGGTTCATAAAGTCCTCCAATACGTGTTTCTGGCAATAAAAGGTTAGCGAACATGTCGGCACCCAGAAGTAAGTCTATACGACGTGGCTGGTAGTACGTAGGATCTGCTAACTGCAGTCCTCGAATATGAGCCCATTGGTTTGGCTCAATTGTTTGACTTGGCAATTTATTGGTGAGCGCCTTTAAAACAAAGGCGGTATCGACCGCGACATGGTAGTTAGGGTTCACATATGAGTGCATTGTGAAATTCACAGTGTGCTTACAACGATGCGCGACGTTGCTGCCCACCCCAGATCTATCTGCCGAAGCACGGTTGCGTGTCAAACAGAGTGTTTGAACGGCATGCTCTGAAATAAGTGTGCATTCAGAGCCTTGATCTAATAGCGCACGTACTACCATTGACTGACCCGTGCCGTCGTTCTTGATCGTGACGAGAGCGGTGGCTAAAAGCACCTTACGAGTCTGCTTCTGTGACGGTTCTGTAAGAAGCTGAGCAGTGTGCGTTAACCTGGATGACGTGGGGTTTTGATGAGTCGTGGTCTGACTCTGAGTGCTTTCAACTTGAAAGGTTTGAGCTGATGGGTTTAAAGCTATTTGAGATTTGCCACCCTCGTGTGATCGAGTGGATTCATTTTGCTGTGGGGGCTTTGACATTGGAAAATATAGAAGAGTGTGGTGTCTTTGGCTACACTGTAGACAGTTCTTCGTGCTGGTGCAACGGGAAACTGAATGAGCCCTGCTCAGGCAATTTAAACAAAGTTTTGCTTTGTCCGCGATAGACTTTCTCTCAAAGCAATCTTTGGCGAGGAATTTGGTACAGCGCCGCAGAATGTGTGCTTCGCCACACAGAAAGCATGAATTGACGTTTTTCGGTTGACTAGTGGCGTGAAAACTATTACTATTATGTCTGTATAAAGCCTTTGGAGGTCGACTTTGGCGTTTAGTTGACGAAGTATTATCAGCCACATTGCTGGTCTTTGACAGTGAGTTATTACCACACGAAATGTTTCTATTTTCAATCACATTGATTGTCACCAGACGCTTATTTAAAAATGCTTCTAACATTTCAAAGGTGGGGATGTTAACGTCACTGCCGAGGTGATATTCCCAAGCTTGATGGGTATCCTTTGGCAACTTGGTTGACAAAAGGTACGCAATCCACTGATTGCCCTATGAAATAGGTATTTTCAAACGACTGAACTCATTTATACAGACTTTTGCTACATTGAGTAAAGACTTGATGTCGTCTGAGCACTCTTTAATAACTGCAGATTGTGTGAAGAGCTTGTTCATGTGGTGCAGGAATAGTAGACGAGGATTATTATAACGATTAACAATTAAATCCCAGGCAGTTCCATAGTTGGTCTCAGTTAAGGCCATTTGCTGAACATC